GTGGCGCAGTGACCCTGTATGCAACATTGCAATCCCCATAGTGAGGAGCCGGCCCTAGCCCCATGGGACAGAAGATGCTGCTGTGCTACACTCAGACAGAATCATGGTTTCAGTGGAGGTTGCTGCTGGTTGGTATCCGTGGCTGGGTGAGGAAGGAGGAGGATTTTGATTTTGTCTTCTGATTTTGCTCCCACCCTCCCCAAACAAATTTGGATCTTGGCTAAGTCTCAGAAAGAGACAAAAAGTAATTTGTGGATTGTCTTAGTGAAAACTTTGGGAAAAGTGGCTTGATCCAGAATGGCAAATTGTATCTTCCTAAAAAGGTCTGTTTCTACTTTGCTATTTAGGCTGCTATTGTGAGAATTATGAAAATGCGAAAGGTTCTAAAACACCAGCAATTGCTTGGAGAAGTTCTAACCCAGCTGTCCTCAAGATTCAAACCACGAGTTCCAGTAATTAAGGTATGTCAAAATAGCAGTAATATATATTAACTCAGATGCTTGTTTTCTAAATTCAGCCTGTTAATTTTTTAAGGTTTAAAGAAATAAATTATTCAACTATTATACTTTAAGTAGGAAACATTTAATTTAATCTCTTACAAGTTCTCAAAGACTAGTCAGCATATTGATATGATGAGGCTAAATAATAAGACCTCATCATGTGCCAGTAAGCATGCTACAGTGTTTATTGTGACATAATTTATCATATCATTGTCAAAATAAAGGAACCACGTACATTTTGGCTTAAATGTTTTATTGCTCACTTACAGAATAATAATGTTCTAGGGAATTAGTAACATTTGGCTGTGTTCAGTCATCGTTACTCCCTTGAATAGTGTTTGCGGAGTGGCCTCTTCTAGGCATGGTCAAAAATTGAGTAAATTGCCATTGTTTGAATAGTCTGTTTATGCCATTTCCCTGCATAATATTTAATGCAAGTCTTTGAAATAAACATGTATTCAGCATGATATTTAGTAGCCAAAACTGTTAAAAAGCTTTCAGCAACCAAAAATTGTTTTATTGCTCTTAAAGTGCCTACCTGGGGTTTGTTTTATTACTTGCCTTTCAACGTTTTCCCCTACAGAAATGCATTGACATTCTGATTGAAAAGGAGTACTTGGAGCGTGTCGATGGTGAGAAGGACACCTACAGTTACTTGGCTTAACATTTTTATTAGCAGTTGTCTGACTGTGTGAGACACTCAGCAGATAGATATGTGATGGAAAGAATGAAAACAACTGAACTTCATAGCAGCCCGTCTGCTGCCATTTGGACCTCCCTTTTTAATGACTGAGACAAGGACTCCCATCAGCCAGTCTCAGATTTACATCGGAACTGCTCAGGATTGATACATTTCAAGTATGTAAATATGGACACCAATGCCATTTAACCTAATTTAAGAACAGAAAGGAATCAAAACCTTCTACCCTGAGGGTTGCATGCTACTGCATTTAAATCAATACATTGGCTATATGATAAATAGCTGCCACCACAGGCAGCACTTAGAAATGTTGGCAGCACTTTGAGAGCGAGTCTGAATGGACGTATGTGTAATCTGCTATGAAAAACCATTTGTATAGTGTGTTTCATTTTTTAATGTGTGATAAATAAAAAAAATTAAAAGATTTCTGTACAAGTTGCATTTGGTTTTATTGTTTTAAGTTTCACTACTTTCTAAATGTAAATAAAAGGTATAATGATTATGAAAGCTACAATAATTTGTTAGTTTTGCTTTCTTCCTTTCCTGTTTTCCAGCGATTATAGCAAAACACTTCCCAGGATTGAAAAATGAATCTGTATTTGTGGCTTTTTGGAGGAGGGAGTGACTGAATTCAGGGAAGTGTTCATTGAATTGTGCATACTGGTTTTTTTTCGATATATGCTAATAAATCTCAATAGCAGATACTTGGAAAATGTGCACAAATGTTTTGGCATTGCAGTTTGTGTTTCTCAAAATGGATACAACAGATGCTAAACTCATCTACTTAAGCGGTCAGGTAATATTTTTGCACGAGGTTAAGCAAATTAGGCCACTTTTATCAATAGTGTGGCAGTACATCTTGGATGCACGTTCTTGGACAAAACTGTGTACTTAACACACGTGCTCTGAGATTATTCCCATTTTAACATATTTAGCTAAGTTTTTTTTCTCATTTTTGAACAAGTGAGCTCTAGTTCTTTATAACTTGTATGTGACTGAGCATTGCTCCGAGCTGTGAAAGCCTGATTGATTAAAATGAAAAAGTGAAAACCTAATTTCATAATGGTGGAAGTGCTGTACTCACTATTGGTACAAATGTAAAATTCTTGCTTTTAGTGTTTCCAAATTGTCATTGTGAGCAGAAGCTCCATCTTTATTTTTATGGTGCACATCCGGCACTCAAAGACACCACAGCATTAAGCCATTGTTTTCTGAGAAATACCCATTCCTCTTTGAGCCACCTTTCTTCATTTCCCATAATGATGTGAAGATATTGTCCTAGCAACTCTTTTTTTTCTGGTCTTGCTTTGTTGAAAGTGTTGCTTTGCCCTAATGAATGCTTAAACAAATTACCAGAAAGGATTTAAAAAACACCTTTTTTGCATTTGGGGGGGGGGGGGGGGGGGGGGGGGGGGCTCCAGCCCAAAGGTTCCTGGGCCACACCACTGAACTCTCTGGTCTAGGAACATCTGTGGCCTGATATTGCTGGACCAGAAAGTCCTGGTGCAACCTGTACTAGGTCTGTCAACAGACTGCCCTTACAGTAATAAAAACTGTTGTGAAAGTGAATATGTTTTGTATTTTAGAGACCAGTGATTGCTGGACACCCACTCCCAGTTTTTGACAAGGTTCCTGGGCCACACCACTGAACTCTCTGGTCTAGGAACATCTGTGGCCTGATATTGCTGGACCAGAAAGTCCTGGTGCAACCTGTACTAGGTCTGTCAACAGACTGCCCTTACAGTAATAAAAACTGTTGTGAAAGTGAATATGTTTTGTATTTTAGAGACCAGTGATTGCTGGACACCCACTCCCAGTTTTTGACACAGTCTAGAGACACATCATCCCTGCCCATTTTGGCTAGTAGCCATTGATGGACCTGTCCTCAATGAATTCATCTAGTTCTTTTTTGAAAGCTAACGTCTTTGCCTTCACAATATCCTCTGGCAGGGAGTTCTACAGGATGTGCTTTGTTTTAAACCTGCTGCCTATTCATTTTATTTGGTGAGCCTAGTTCGTGTTCTGGGGAGGAATAAATAACTTTTCCTTATGTACTTTCTTCACACCAGTCATGATTTTTATAGACCTCTGTCATAATAATCTCCATTACTCATCTCTCTTTCCAAGCTGAAAAGTCCATTATTAAGCTCACCTCATAGCAGCTGTTCCATTCCCCTAACCATTTTCCAATTCCACTAACTTTGAGATTAGGGGTGGGTGCAGTATTCAAGATGTAGGCATACCATGGATTTATATAGAGGAAATATATTTTCTTTATGTATCTCTTTCTTGATGATTCCCAGGTTTGTTTGCTTTTTGACTTCTGCTGTACATTCAGTGGGGCTACGTCTATACTGGCATGATTTTCCACAAATGCTTTTAATGGAAAAGATTTTCCGTTAGAGCATTTGTGCAAAACTGCATCTAGATTGGCACGGACGCTTTTCCGCAAAAGCACTTCTTGCGGAAAAACGTCTGTGCCAATCTAGATGCGGTTTTGTGCAAGAAAGCCCTGATCGCCATTTTTGCACAAAACAATACCGTGTTGTCTACACTGGCCCTCTTGCACAAAAGGGCTTTTGCCCGAACGGGAGCAGCATAGTATTTCCACAAGAACACTGACAATCTTACATGAGATCATCAGTGTTCTTGCAGAAATTCAAGCAGCCAGTGTAGACAGCTGGTACGTTTTTCCACAAAAGCAACTGCTTTTGCAGAAAAACTTGCTAGTCTAGATGTAGCCTGGATGTTTTCAGAAAACTATGCACACTGATTCCATGATCTGTTCCCCCCACATCATTTTATACCTATAGTTGGGATTGTTTGCCATGTTGTTGCCCTGTCAAGTTTCCAAGATCCTTCTGAAGCTCTTCTTACTTTGCACGTAACTGTCTTAAGCAATTCTCTCTCAGATGCAAGTTTGCCACCTCACTGTTTACCCCAACCATTTATAAATATGTTGAAGAGGACTGGTCCCAGGTACACTCCTGGGGGGCAATACTAGTTACCACTCTCCATTCTGAAAATTGACACTTTATATCAGGTACCAGTTCATGAGGATCTTCCTTCTTATCCCATGACAGCTTATTTTACTTAACAGTCTTTGGTAAGGGACCTTGTCAAAGGCTCTACAGGTAGATACAGTATATCAAGTGGATCCCCACTTGTCCACATGCTTGTTGACCCCAACAGAGTCCTGGTAGAGTGGTCAGACATAACTGCCCATTACAAATACCATGCTGACTCTTCTCTGACACATTATGTTCATCTATGTAGCTGAGAATTTTCGTCTTTACTGATGCTGGACTTGCCATCCTGTAACTGCTAAGCTCACCTTTTTAAAAATTGGTGTCACATTAGCTGTCGCCCCCAGTCATTTGGTACAGAAGATGTTTTAAAGGGTAGGTTACAAGCTACAGTTGTTCTGCAATTTTGAGTTTCCAGAACTCTTGGGTGAATACCACTTGGTTCTGGTGTCTTAGTACTATTTAGCAGTATTCAGAGAAAGTGGCCAATGGAAGCTCTGTGTTTAAATACACACCTTTATTTAACTTTGAGTGTCACTCAGAAGGCAAATAAGTTGCACATTGGAGGCAATAGATTAATAAAGGCAGACCATTTTTCCATTCTAAAGGCTTCCAACTTAATCAGTTTAAGTGACTACATAAGGTTCAGGTACTAACTTGTCCTTAAACCCCTGGTGCTGATTTACTTTTGCATTAATCCCACTGTATCCTCAAAAGCTTCACCACCAATATCACAGTTAGGTGAACTACCATAACTCAAATACACTCACAGTGAAGCAGTTCAAGTATCCTTTATTCAAGGTTGAAAAATGTACCACACCGCATTATTGCAAAAGTTCATTGGTACAAAACACTTTGCAGCTGGTGACAAGGCAATAAAAAGTTGATTTTGAAATTTACTATAAATTACTGTTACAGTACTTTGCAAATTCAGAATTTCAAATTGCATCATTTTTCTAAATTGCCCACAGTACTAGAAAATTCCTGGAGATAAGGCAGCTGTTCAGCAGTAGAGGTAGCTGGTATCAAGGGATTTCCATTTCTCTTTCAATGCCTACATATTTAAGTGCATCGGCCTGGCTATATCTGTGGGGGAGGGGAAAAGACATCCATATCAATACAAGATTAAAAAAAGTTGTAGCATGCTGTGCACCAGTTGATTTGGGGAGGCTCAGCCTCTCACAAAGATCCAATCACAGAAAAGGTTGAACACAATTCTATCACTTATGTGCCCTTGCATTTGAAGTTGTTTCTCTAGAAAAAAAAAAAAACAGAAGCAACCTTGTTTTTTGTAGAAGTGTTGAGAGGCAAATTCACATGAAGAGACACTGGGGTAGAAATTGGTATGCATAAGGTCCAGTGGTTGGAAGTCCATTCAACTGATAATGCTTGTTTTGGAACATTTAGTTACGTAACATAAGTTTTCAGCTGTAGGAAATGAGGGGCAGACAGACAGTGTCTGCTTATCAAAGTAACTATCCTGAAATCAAACACGGTCTCAAGCAGCCTTTTTTCTCTCTGCGCCTATCTGGGAATTTTTTCTCAACAGTTTGTGTATGGACATACAATGAAATACTTACTGAAATTTACCAATAAGTAATAGTTTCAAGCCTGAATATAAACTGATCATGAAATTTAGACTGGACATTAGATGGTTTCTAAACATTAGAAGAGTGAAACAGCCCTGCACTAGCTTGATACATTTGTAAAAACAGGACAGATGATGGCATTCCCTATGTATAGCAGGATACAACTTGCTAACCAACATTGTTGTTGTTTTGTGTTCTTGTGACTGGCAGTCAGTGAGCCATAAAATCAGGCTTCTCCAATGTCCCTAGAATGAAAGAATATCTTGCTATACTCTACCAACCTGTAGTCAAAAAACAGCTCTTCACCCGTCTGAATGGCTCTCTTAGCAAATATACCTATTCTGTGATCTCCATTAACCATCATAACTGTTTTAAAAAGAGGAAAGAGAGAGAGTGTAAGTATACTGTCGGGGCCTTACGCTTACATTTGAATGACTTATTTGTATTTACACATTCTGCCACTACTTAAAAATGTGTCCGTAATCAGCATTTTACAGTAATGTTTCACATATTGTTTGACTAATCCTAGGTTTAACTGTCTGATATTACCTTTTGCATAGCAGTTCGGATTTACTGAATGGTTTGCAAATCGGATTTTGTTACCCTTGCGTGTTGCATCAACCACAAAATCTAGAAAAGAAAGCAAGCAGTTAGAACAGATTGCCTCTAAAGAGCTTTCTAAGCACCTCTGAGAAAATGCTATTTTACTTACCTGCCAAGTAACCACGTTAGTGTATTCAGTTTTACATGCGAATATCATTTTGGAAAAACCTCAGATGTTCATTTTTCCCTCAGAAAAGCCTAACAAGTTGCCATATCAAAACAGTTGGTTTTGCAGTTCTAAAATTGGTGTTTTCACTTGCTGAGAATGCTAATAATTGACATCATTTGGGCGGGAGATGGAGGTGGAATGTAACAATGATGTTTCTAAATTAGATGGAACTCTTTTCTTTCCAAGTACATAAGCTATCTAAAAATGTGCTGACCTTTATGTGAAAAAGGGTCCTGTATAAACTTTTTGTAGCACTTAAGACTAGATCCACAAAGGGACTGACGCAGTACAACAGTGAGAATTGTGAAAGCTAACATTTAAGCACCCTACTGTAGAATCTCCAGCCACGCTCCCTATGCCGTGCACAGGAATAGTAAGGCTCCTAATAGAATTTCTCAGAAGCCAGCAAGCTGAGCAGGGAGGGGCCTAAATTAGTAGGCAATTTTAAAGGAATAGCCCCACCTATCACAGGATTTTAGGCACCTGAGTCTTGGACAGACACTTGCACAAAAGACAGTTTCAGATGACTTTCTGCATGCATGTAAGGCCCAGCATTGTAGGCATGCTCTGAGAATGCCTACTGGATCAACGCCAGCAGGCAAGAATCACTTACTCAGAATCCCATATGGACAAAACAGTTAACTTCTGCACTCAGCTGTCACAGAACTTAGCAAGTTTTGTGTATGCCCGCCAACAAACTCAGGTGCCTGGAGGTTAGGTGGTAGCTAAGTGGAGATTTTGAAAACCTGTGGTGTCAAAATATTGGACTTAGGGGCCTATGCCCTTTTTTGGATCCAGCCCACAGTGTACATAGATTTTAATAACTGAATGTTTTATTTCCCATGTGTAAGGAGAGCCCGAATTATCCCAATTTGCTTTCTCCTCAGCTACAGTACCTTCTCTGTGGACCCCAATGGGTGAAGGGAGCTGCATGCCATTATTTTCAATGTACTTCTTGTCAATTGATTTTGACAACCTTGTCCTTCATGCCTCATTGACACTGTTGTGTATGTGGAATCATGGGCCAACTGAAGTCAATATATTTAATGGCATCTACAGGCACTTCTTCTACAGTGGCAGTGTAAATTAAAAATAGCTAAACATACGTACCATTATTCAAATTGAATAAAAAACTGCACATGTACTTGTCATATACCTTCCCTCGCCTATCAGCCTCATCCTGGGAAATAATCTGAAAGAAAAATATTGCATCAGAAAAATTGACTTTCTTCTGGTAACAGACCCAGGCAATGTCTAGATTATGGGTGTTTTCCAGGATACCGAGAATATCCCGGAAAAACTCTACCACGTCCAGGGAACGCATCTGCTCTTCTTCCGCCCCCCCCCCCCTTTTTTTTTTTGCAGAAGAGCAGATGCGCTCTTTCAGAAGCCCTGTCTTCCTTCCTCCTCCCATGAGGATAAAGGGCTCTTTCGAAAGAGGGGTTTTTCCAAAAATTGGCCCAGTGTAGACGAGCCAAATTTCAGAAAAGCCTCTTCCAAAAAAATATTGGAAAAAGGTACGCAAATTGCAGAGTGCTATTTGCGTACCTTTTTCCGATAAAGCCCCATAGTGTAGACATAGCCCCCAAGTATGCCCTTCTCTCATACCCACTCAGACATTGTCAAACTTGCTCCACATTTAAAGTCCTAACTTTTCGAAGACATATTCCATTCTGGAATGAAGTTTTATACTGTAAGGCTACGTCTACACTGCCATTCTTGTGCAAAAACTTACGGAGCGTCTTCACTGCATGCACGTTCTTGCGCAAGTAAATGTACAGGAGTTGTTCTTCTCCCCACAAGGAATAAGCCCTCTTGTGCAAGAAACCCCTATGGCTAAAATGGCCATTCGAGCTTTCTTGCACAAGAGAGCGTCCACACTGCCATGGACGCTCTTGCGCAAAAGCACATGGCAGTGTGGATGCACTCTTGCACAAGACCTCTTGTGCAAAACAGTTCTTGTGCAAAAAACTTGCAGTACAGACATAGCCCAAGTGAATTTTAAGCTTGGGAAAACTTTTTAACTATAGCTAAGGCTGACAAATGGTTATAGACAATGACTGCAAGACTAATACAAATCTACAGTTATCATCTTAGAGCTCTAGTTAATATAACTTTTTCTGAATTGGAAATGTCTCCCTCTTATTTAGTAGCCCAAACCAGTAAGTGACACTCACCACTCAGCCTAAAAGGGGAACAATTTCATTTAACTAAAGATATATAAAGTACTCCTGTCAAGTGATCAATTTTATAATCGCAGTTAATCATGTGACTTTTTTTTAAAATCACAATAATGCAATTAGTTGCACTGTTAAATAATAAAATGCCATTTATTTAAATATTTTGGATATTTTCTACATGTTCGGATATACTAATTTCAATTACAACATGAAATACCAAGTGCATATAGTGCTCATTTTTTATATTTGCACTGTAAAATAGTAGGTTTTTTCAATTCACATCATAGAAGTACCTAAGTGCATTCTCTCTATATTGTGAAAGTTAAACTACATTTGTACATAACTGCACTCAAAACAATGCAAAACTTCAGAGCTACAAGTACTCTGTCCTATTTGTTCAGCAAATCACTAGACTAACAACTTTGTTTACATTTACAGGAGATAATACTGCCCACTTCCTATTTACAATATAATGGCAGCTACAAATGGTTCCATTTTTGTTCTGATTTTTGGATGACAAAGTAATTTACATGCCAGGTGTTAAACCTTCGTATACCCCTTTATGCTCTGGCCACCATTCCAGAGGGCATGCTAATGACTCCTCTTAAAATAATTGTGTTAATTACATTTGTGACTGAACTCCTTGGGGGGAGAAGGGAGGGAATGTTATGTCTCCATCTACTTTACTTGTATTCTGATGACTCAGCATGTTTGTTTCAAGAGCTTTCATTGCAGATCTGACAAAACCCAAAGGTTGGTAATCCAAAACTCTTTAATACATTTCAATTGGTTTTTATGGTTTAAGTGTGATTAATCATGATTTTTTTTTCAGTTAATTGACAGTCCTAATATAAACTTACAGGACCTTCATGTATAAAAAGTAAAGATTTTTAAATCACAAACCAAATTGTATTTAAACAGATTTTTCAATTCAACTCATTTAAAATTAATGTTGAAGTAGATATTTTATTAAAGTCTAAGCTTATAATTATTTAAATACATAAAATAATATTAAGCAGTACATGTTTGCTCTCACATGTAAGGAAGGTCAAATGACGGAACTGGCAGAAGTCCCTAGCTAAGTATTTGGAACCCGTTTATTGACCTGCTATTCTAGCTTTTATCCCTAATAGTATCTTCTACTATTGCAGTTTATTCAACTAATTTAGTTCAATGACAGGTTCATTCAAAGTTAAGCTTTTCTGCTGTTTCAGCTCCCAATAGGTTTCTTGTTTTCCTCTTCAAGTCTATGAATAAAATCTTAAGTGTGAGAGGATGTAATCTATTAAGTTCTGAAAGCTTAAAGGTCAGGGCCATCAATCAGTTTTAAATACAAAATATGTTTTGATACATTATGTGCACTTTCAATCAAATCAGAAAATAGAGCTAGATATAAAATTAATGATGTAGTAGAGCAGAAATGCATTTTTAACATTTTCTAAAAGTATTAAAAATCTAAATGCAAGTTAAGCTGCATAACTGCTAAATAAATGTGTACAGCTATAGTGTAATTTCCTAGGTAGCCAAAAAAGCACTAAACTGACAGATAAGATTTAGTTACAAATCAATACTTTACATTTACCAAAAAAGGAGAATCAACCTCTCTTTAAATCGTGTTGTACTTTAGTTTTTTTCCTAATCATATTGTGATTGAGAATGACAATTTAAATTGCTTTGATATAAATCCATTCACTCACTTCTGGTCCTTAGCTCTCCCTTTCACATAGTGGGATATCTGCATTCTGGCAATGTGTTATGCTGGAAGTCAAATGATTTTGCAGGACGCTCCAGATATGCTTGAACTGGGACTTGCTCCTTTGAGCCACCCTGTCTTCTAGCCTCATCCTCACAGGCACCCAAAAGTCAGGAAAATATCTTGCCAGTGGGAAAAGCCAGTATCAGCTGTGGATTCAGCTATGTATACTAGGTGCTAGGGAAACTTATTCACTTGGCACTATCAAGACCTTGACACCGGCTGTGAATTACTGTGTAACATTCCTTTATTCCAAAGAAGGCTGCTAAGTCTACAAACAAGCTAGTTCCCAAGCCTGGAGGCATTATTTAACCAATTTTGCTGTATAATTAGTCAAGGACACAAACTGATACATCGTTGAAGAAAGTAACCTTGAATACTTCAGACACACATGTATGTATAAACAAAATTTCTTCCTCTTTTACCAATGTACAGCTGTAACAATAAAACATACATTTGAAGCAGCAGTGTTCAACCTGTGGTCTGTGGATTATTTTAAAGATTTACCACATCTGAAATTTTGTATGGGTCTGCCAATAAAAAAGGTTGAAAACCACTGGGTTGAAGGATACGATCTTTCCTCACCTCACCACAGTACTCAGAGATAAATTCATTCTTCTGTACGGGATCTTTGATGAAAATTCCCCAGCCTGCCACATCAGAAGGTGCCAACAGCAAATGCTACAGGAGGAAGATATAAGAAACTTATCACCTGACCTGGGTTTTCGGGAATGCTCAGTTTAAATGATAAACATGCATAATGCCTAAGATGTGAGATGGGATACAAAAATATTTAAAAAAACTACAAGCTGCACACTATCATTTGGGAAGGAGGCAAGGAGGGAAAATATGTACATAAAGGAGGCCAGATACTTTGCTAATGAAAAAAATTGATCAGATATTTTAGACTGCACAATTCTGCTTGTACAAATGCAATTTTTACCATTTAAATTATATGATTAATTATCTGGCTTGTCAAGAGAGAGTATGGCGATTTTTTCCCCCTCAACCTACAAGACAAGGGGTGAGAGGCTCAGCTTAAATGAACATATTTTGCACACAATTTAGTATTGAAGAAAACAAGAGTTGTTCCATTCCATAGTAGTCAAGAGGAGTAAAGTGGTGCACAACTCAAAGGCAAAATTGGTGGAAACCACAGCAAAGAGAGAGATTAGTTTAAAAGGCAGAGTGCAAACTCCAGGTCATGGGATTTGTAGGCAAGAAAACAATAGTAGGCACCCTTCATCATTGCAGAAGGCAAAAAAAGTGGATCCAGGAAGAACTGTGTGTAGATGGTAAGCGCACACACCTTTTTCGATCCCCTCTGAATGCTGCAGTTCTTGCAAGAAACATTTTTGCTGTCCCAGTGATCAGCTGCTCCACATGTTAAACAGAGGTCTGGATCACATTCTCGTACAGCCAAATAGCAAGGACACTGCTTAGTATTGCACTGTGCTTTGCAACGGCATCCAGGAAACCTGTTTTGGCCTATGACGAGCAAAAATAAATAAGTAAACATGAAAAAAGACTCCATATACATCCTAAAATTTAGCAAATATACATTGATTCCTTTCTCCTGCTGTCAATTCCCCAATACTTACAGCGAACAGTTCAGGCCTGGGTACATCTACACAGCATGGAGCTGCAAGCCTCCCAGCCTAGGCTGACAGACTCATGCTAGCGCTCTGAAATTGCAGGATGGGCTCTAAAGCCAAGGGAAGGGAGTGCACTTCACAGCCTGATCTTGAGCCAATCAGCAACCTCAAAATACAGTCTCCCTAGCTATTTTTGAAGCAAAATGCTTTGTCCACATATTCATTCTGCTGATACCATTATTGGACCTAACCAAGTGAGTTATAAGATCAAGAACACATATTCCTGCGCATCCAGAAATATAATCTATGCTATCATGTGCCGAAAGTGTCCGTCTGCTATGTACATTGGACAAACATCTCAGACACTTCGCCAAAGGATTAATGCCCACAAAACAGATATCAGACAAGATCACAAAGAAAAAACAGTTTCTTGCCATTTTAACCAGAAAGGACACTCTCTCAATGACTTGACCACCTGCATTCTGCTACAAAGACCTTTTACATCTGCACTTGAAAGGGAATCCTCTGAACTGTCATTCATGTTAAAATTCGACACTTGCCAACAAGGACTTAACAAACATTTGAACTATCTCACCCATTACCAAGACAGTTTCCCCAATTATCACCTCTAATACCATTAACTCACAAACATCCCACTCTCCCTACCTCTAATATCATCAATTCACAGACACTTACCTTCCTTCCTCCCCCTTCCCACCCCCCCGCATCCCCCTTCTGTTCTGCAATGTGATTTGTCCTTTTCATATGTGTTCATTTTTTTAATTGTATCCTTTGGTATATATGGTTGTGACTATTTTCTTCCACTATTTGATCTGAGGAAGTGGGTCTGGCCCATGAAAGCTCATCATCTAATAAACCATCTTGTTAGTCTTTAAAGTGCTACATTGTCCTGCATTTTGCTTCAGCTATCCCAGACTAACACGGCTACATTTCTATAGCTATTTCTGGAGCACTAGCTTGAGTCAGTTAGCCTAGGTTGGGAGGCTCATTGCCATGGGCCAAATAGACATACCCTCTGGGGTTTTTCCCTTTGCAGTCTTCTACTAACTGAATTAATGCTCACTACATGTACTAGTTTAGAAACTTCTTTTAAATATAGATACGGTAAGTTACTTAGAGGTTTTACATGCAAGAATAACCAACTCACTGCTCCTTAGTGTCCCCATCCTCGATCATTTAAACAAGTTTCAGAGCATGCAGTTTCATTAAAGTCTACATCATAAATATGTATTTGAAAGATACTTTGATGTTGCAGTACTTGGTGCTGGTAACGCTTAACTCATTCAGAGTTTCTTGCATCTTTATAAATTCTGAGAAGGCTCAGAAAGCCAGGGTAGGGGTGTGCGCGCACTCTTGTTTCTTATCTTAGAAATATCAGTAAGGCAAAATCCGGTCTTTTCTGGTTTTGCTGGAGGACCACTTGGAGGCAGAATATTTATTGTGAGCTCTTACCTCCCTAGTTAAATGGGTGAGTGTGCTGAATTTCTAATAAATATTCAAAGTGTAATCAGTCATTAAAGTTAAAAACAAAAGTTAACATAACCAAATATGTTAACAGCCTAACTAAAAACCATTTTCACACCTTTCTTATAATGTCATTCATTCTAGCTAGCCTTCTGGTCACTTAGATGTAACCTCAAATAATTCTTTAAAAAGGGGGGGAGGGAAGGCTCTCTGAAAAAACTTTCCAGGCCTTTTTTAAATGTCAAAAAAAAGCAAAAAAGGGCATACGCCTTTTTTTGACCCTGTGTAAGCCTTTTATTTAATATTAGCAGTAAATGTGTCTACAAATAAAATTAGTCTACAAAAAGACACTCAACTGCAGCACCTTCCAAAATTAGTACTTACATTCTGAGCTGCACTGACAAAACTTCTCACAGAAGTTCTGAGCAATTACACAAGGACATGAGCTGTCACAAGGCTGACGAGGATGATCACATGGCTGGTAGTTGTAAACATGATTAGATGACCCATCTGAATAAAAATAGTAATAAATTTGAAAAGATTTAATCAAAAATTTCAAAATTTCAAAAGGGAAGCCCTTTCTTAAAATTCACTTAAATGATAAAAAAACCTATCCAAGCCTACTCGTAAAGTATTAATCATAGAAAAGTACACTAACCAGAAATAGTGGCATTAACAAGATGCACTTTAGCTTTCTTTCTGAGTTGCTTTGCTCGTGTTGCACCTGACCCCTCATGTTACTCATCTGTTCAGTGTATTGAGAATTTAAGAACTTATCTACAGTGGAAAGTGACAAGCAAAACTATAGCAATATAATAGTATTGGCATAGGTGCTGAGACTGTGGGTGCTCCAGGGCTGTATCACTCGTGGAAAGATGCCACACTCCCCTTCCATGACCCCCCCCATCAACCAACTTCTCCCCTCCCTCCTGCACACCTTGGAACAGCTGTTTAGTGGCATACAGGAGGCACTGGTAAGGAAGGGGAGGAGAAGAGACAGAGCACCCAGGAGCAGAAAGATGGGGGTGGGAAAAGGCAGGACAAGAGTGGGGGCACTAGTGAATGGGTGGAGTGGAGGTGGGGCAGAGCAGGAGTTGAACACTTCTGGGGAAAATTAAAACAGCAGCTTGTTAATACTATGTCGCTCTGTGTGGACTGTCTAAACTAAGGTCATTTTTATTCCACAAGGGGAATTATACTGCTTAGCAATATTATATTCCTATATTTCTGCTTGTCAATTTCCCTGTGTTAACAAGCCCTAAACTCTGAGGGCAGCTGGGTAGACTTTGGGTCCTATATAAATTAATACCTGCCTTCAATCCACTAGTATTTATGCTGGTTTAGATGCATTTGTATAATGTTATAGGCCATCCTTGTTATAAGTCCAAGATACGTCCCAAAAAACGGATAGAGAAACAACTTAAAGCAGGGATTTTTTTCCCATGGCTGACTTCCATTCATGCAAAATGGGGTTGGGTTTATTTATTTATTTGGCGCGACTTACAGGGGAATAGGAGGACTTATAATGCATCAGTTCCTACAAGCGTCCATGACATTAGTGCGGAATGGATATATACCAGGGCAACTGATAGCAGGGACACCCTGTACATTTGTTTCAGTTAACAACCAAGCAATAATAATACATTAAAAAATAATCTGTTCAGAGGTAGATTTATTTTATCACAGTATCTCCCATCCCCACAAAGAGAGCATATTTCAGAATTAAGAAAACAAAAAGGCTGCAAACATGCAGCTCATCACAGTAGGAGTTGTGCAGTGTTATTCCAAAGCCTTCCTAAAATGTTATGAATTCACAGCCTCCTTCCTATAATAAGCAATGTTTTTTTCTCAACAGCTGCATAAACAATGTGGAATATCCCCTATCCCTGCCGTATAACTAACTTATGGTTACTATTCTTCCGTCTCCTTGTGACCGCTGGCTCCCCACGAAAAGTATAAAATGGCCTAACTTCATTCAGAAAACAGTAGGATCTTAAAAATTCAGGACAGAAAGTTGAATGGAAAGATGCTAACCCTTTTTCAGCTGTATCTTTCTGCAATGAGCAGCCCATAACCTGCAAAAACACAAAACAAACACAAGAAAGTTGACAGGAACTCCTCCTGTAATGGGCTGTGGAACTGGCTGCCGTTCTAGGCACCTACAAAATTACTTTTAACTGGGAAATTCTTCTGGAACAAGAATTCCTAAACCTTTTAAATCAAAGTTTTACAGACGAACCTCCACACTAGCCCAGGTTAGTAGTAACATTTGGCGATAACATGCTTCAGACAATTTACAACCTCCTAAAAATGATGTTAGAAACCAGTGTTTTTACTTTTGCTTTAAAGCTATAGTTCCAATATATAATTTTCTTTAGCAGTTAAAGCTAATTGAAATACCAGGTTTAATAAATCCTTTCCGGCCAAGATTTCCTAAATTTATGTTCCCACACAGGTAATTCGTAGATTTAATTACCAACATTCAATTTGTATTGTTTAACTATGGGACAGATTGTCAATTTGTTTCTGTACAGATGTCCATTTCTAATTACTGTAACCGGCTCAAATAATGCAGCATATACTATGTAGTAAGAAATTCTCATGTAAGGGTCAAATGTTTCAGAAACAGAACCACGTATCTGCATTTTTTTCCTAGTGACTACACCCAGAAGTTGTTCTTTAAAAACGTAGAAATATTTAAATATATGTTTAACCGAACAGGAATTTCTACACCTTTTTAATTTCCTTTCTGCATTAGGGATTTTAAAATGTGTTTATTTGTGTAAACATGTAACCACTGAAATTTTCAGCAGTTGCACATTTACATGCCTGGGCCAGGAGAGCAGGGAGAGAGGTGGGAGCTGGTGCTGCCCGTTCTCCTTGAGTGCCACTTCTTGTTCCCCTACCCTCTCCCTGTAATGGGAGAGGGGGGCTCCACAGGAGTTGGCATGTGTGGGGGCTTAAAAGCTGGCTCCCCACGTGTACCTGTCCCCCTGCTGATACAGAGGCAGCAGCGTGGGGTGGGGTAGAGGGAGCTGCATGTAACTGTGTACTTGGGTATTCGTTCACATCCCTATTCTGCACAGCATTACATCAAATTGGATTCTAGAGGATTCATATTTTTTCAAGTGTACCCAGCAGCTTTAAACAAACACAACACTATTCTCCGTACAACTAGCTCACATTAAATACATTTCTGAAGTTAATCTGTTCTCCATCCATTTAGACTTTTGTCAAGGTAACTTTATAACTATAAGTTATCTTTTCTTCAAAAAGTATTATACAAAATAGATTCAATTCCTTTTCAAGGTGGAATACTCCAAGCAGGTATACAGTAATGCTGCAGCAAAAGGATACTAACAGGTAAAAATGCCTCCCTCTGCACTGTATTACTTAAATTCATAGAAAACCTCTCTAGAAAACTACTTCTCCAACTACTTAAAGGGAGAAATAAGATTTCACTTCAGAAAAATGTAATATCCCTCATATGGTCACATTACATTCTCCAAACTCTCCAGACTAGTTAAAAGTAGAAAAGACTACATAGCTGAACAATACTTCCTCCACAGAAGCTATCCTTCCATACTGTCATCTTGGGCCAAAATAATAAATAAAACTCTTGAATGCACAACTTAAATCAGACCTTTGATCATCATGAAATGTCAAAGAATTAAGTAGTTCTCCAGTTTTAACATACTGCAGAAGTATGCCACCTTCTTTCTAAAGGTTAAGTCAATTGTACACCATTTGGCGAAGAGAATGGATTCAAATTAAAGATAACACTTTGGGCAAGAAAATCAGAACCAAAATAAACTGTATATGGTAGAAAATCAGATATAGTAGTCGTGATGAATTCTGCAAGTTGACTTTTCTCAAAGAGACTAGGGCCATCAAAAGAGCACTTGGAGAATAAAGGTATATCGTGACAATAAGTTCAGAGGGGGAATTAAAGATGACATTATGGACTGAGTGAATGCTTCAACGTTAGTCAACTGGGATAAATAGAAGTCTGATTAGTGCTCTTGGCTACTGGCAAGGTGGCAACATAAACCTTAAGATTAGCATGTGGCTTTCAGAAATTGTCTGACTAAGAGGTGGAAGGTTGCCTAGAAGCACTTTGCCTTTCCACTAATGACCTCAATGAGTGAGTGACTGATGCTAGGGGAAGTGGTGGGAGTAAGATTTCGCTCTTTTCCCATCCTACTTAGTAACACAACACAATGTTATAGTTTCAACGACTAGGAAGTAAAAAGGCAAATGCGTCAAATGGGAGAATTCCACAGCAATGTACTAGTAGGATAGTATAAAATAAAGAAATGTCAAGTGACATGGAATGGAATAAATATTGAACCATAATAAACACCCTATGTGCAATTTCCCTTACTATTCATGCCATTTCTCCTTTTCTCCCCAGTAATAGTCCAGAGATGTTGCAAACATCAAGCCAGAAGAGGTAGGTTTACCAAAAAGTGGTATTTGAAGAATCTTCCAGGCAAAAGCAATTTCAGTATATAAATACATGTTGGAAACATTCACAAGACTTGTTCCTGATACCTGGATTTAGGAACAATAGATCAGTTAATGATGACTAATCTCCCATAAAGTGGGAGATTAACTGACCTCTACATCTCATTCCTGCCTGCCTGTGCATTTAATAACTGACTGCTTCTGAATTACGTTCACTTCCAATAGCTGAAATTGTCTTACATATGTGTTGACCTTTCCTGCTAGAAATCCAGAAGTCAGATAGCAACGATAGGCATTTCTTAGGAAACTGCTACAATCTGTCCTTAGTAAAGGTTTGAGGATATCACGAGTATATGAATCTGTCTCTTGAATTTAGAAATGAAAATTCAACTGATGTATGCAGTTTGATCTGTTGGAAAAGCAGGTTTTTCCTACTGTTCTCATTAGACTCCTTAAAGATGCCTTGTCTAGGCTCTCTCTAGAGATGAGGCCTTTTACAGTGGAATGCGAGTAATTTATGTTAAGACTTCAGCCACTCTGCTTGCCATGCTATCATGATACTAAGATGCCTTTGAACCAAATCTTATATTATTTTCGACAGCATAATATAGAAAAGCTATAATTAGATGCTGTGAAGAACCAGTCCCTGAGGAATGAGGGCAGAAAGAAGAATTCAAATGAAGCTAACTCATAGGTGGATAAAAAAAATCATCAAGAATATTTCTCCCCTAAAGTGAAAACAAGTCAAAGGAATCAAGTCCCATTTAATGAGGAAAAACTCATTACAGCTGTAATTATTGATTCAGTGAGATCAGAGGGAGATAACTATCTCCTAGATATGAAAGACAAAAGTATCAATTTTTTCTCTTCTCCATTTGTGATCACATTTTTTTCAGAGCTGGCGGAATTGTTGCTCTTTAATTGTTGCAGTCTGGCTCAGTATGGTAGAGTCAGACTGTAAACAATGTAACACTTTTTGGTCTTCCCTCTGAGTGTTTCAGCCATTTGTAAACCTCTCGCTGCATCTCTCCCAAGGAGGCAAAGAAATAGAGAAACCCACAAGGAATAAGTGTTGACAATATTATTTTGTTTTACTCAAATGCTTCTTATATAGGTCAAAAAGTATTCCATTAGTCTGATCTGACAAAGTAAAATGCAGATTCCAGTGAGATGTTATAAAACTTTAAAGGCATCTTGCAATAATCTATTACTGACACAGTAACTTTGATATTGGCAACCTGTCAGAAAGAACACTTTGGTACATAGCACTTCCCTTCTCTCCCCTCTGTCTTTCCAAATTAACCAGAACATCACAGAAAACCAAAACTCAAAGATAACAATCTTCCTAGGCCTAGCTGCCAACAAGACAGTTTGGCTGGACAATTCCAGGTTTGGAAAATCTTGCCCAACAATTGCCCCAGGACAGCTGATAGCTATGCAGGAAAGAGGGAGCAACAGCACTACCGTGATTTGAACAAAGCAGGATTTCTTCCAGCAGCTCTGACTCCCTGTTCTACTCTGCACTGATTGTGTCTCTACACTATAAGCAGTCTATTCATTTTATCCCTGCAGCAGCTTCTGCACTAAGATCAATGGAAGGCTCTCCTTGAGCAAGAAAATTATGACACAGATGGATAGGAACAAAAAAAGTTATACGAATTATTTGTTGGGAAAATGAGGGGGTGGGGAAAAGCAGGTGGCCATTTGGGAAAAAGAAGGAAAATATTTTCAAAGATTTCTTGATTACTTGTAGTAAATGAGAATTTTTCCCTTCCTTCATTCTCCTTCTGGGAATAAATACATTCACCAGAACACAGAGAACAGTCCCATGCTTGGGGTCCTACTGGACCCCAGATTTGAAGTTAAGATATTGTCCCTATAAAAAAATGTTCGTATGTTATAAAAGACATAGGGACTGGGCATTTTTTAAAATGTATAGAAAGTTAATTTTGGATGAGCTTTTTGCCCTCAGAATGAGCCTTTTAACACTTTTTCTTGTCAAGAAATGTAGAAAAGCTGCCATATGATCTTTGCCTTGTACTGGAACTTTAGTAGCCTGACTCTTCAACTGAATAGCTTGTGGGTAAATAAGCTGTGATGTATGAATCTATGTAGGTGGTCAAGAATTGTTTGTTTTTTAAGGGAGGATGTCTTTCTCCTGAGTATTGTGGTTATTGCTTCCAGTGCTTCAACAAAGTCACACATTTTACTATATGGACATACTGTGCATAGTAATTTGCAAGAGTATCTTCTATTCACTACTGATTCAGTTTATTCTTAAGTCATCTATTGAAGTCACATGACTTCATTAGTGTTATTTCTAAAAAATTACCCATGGTATCCATTTTTGTGGAAAAGTAACCAAAATAAAATCTTAGTAGTAGTATCTCTTTTTGCCTCTTATTCAGCAAAACCTAACCTATTCTACACTAATGTGATTTTTTTAACATTATAACCAATTGTCTAGAGTAATGTGAATCTAACGAACTTGAATTTACTTGTTGCATTTAGCCTATAAGCAACTGTGAAGAAGTTGACTATTTTTAAAGGTGGAACAGATTTGTTTTTGAAGTGCTGTTTGAGGCCAAAACATTTGTTAAGTTGGGCAATTTTGTTTCATTGAAGCAGGTTTTGCTTCTTTGAAGAAGAGACAAGCAGCCTTTTCTTAAGTCCTTATTTTGCATTGCTGGTTCAATAAGTCTCCTATGGCTTATGTTTGGCTTCTAAAGGTTATTTAGTAACAGATTTACCTGTGTTTCCTCTTCTTCTTC